CTACCCTCCTCTTCTATTGTTCTGGTGAGAGCCATCCTGATAGCTAGCTCACAGCTGCTCATACCCTATATCTTAAATGAAATGTCGTGTTGCCGGTCTTGGATTTTGCCCTCCATGGAGCTACTCAGGCTGGATCACTATTACAAATCACTGTTTATGCTTTAGTTCTCTTTATAGGTTAAATGTCATGCCAGAGAGCTGTTTAGATGGAAACAATAATGTGTTGGATGGAAGGATCCTTGTTGAGTGTAGCAGGCATTGGGCTTGGGAGGAGAAATACAATTATCAGCTCCAAGTAGCTTCTGTTCCCTATCTCACCAGGAAGCCAGACTTGAAGCAAATAATCCAACCAGAGGCCGGAGAAAATCCAACCACAGAGGGTGTGGTGACATTGCAGCTGCTGTCGGGGGTGTGAAGAGGAGATCTGAGACGAGGCTGGGTCAGGAGAAGGGAATAAACCCTCCTATATACCGAGTCCATTCAGGCTACAAGGCCCTTGATCCCCAGTGCTTGGGGCCCACAGGCCACGTGGTGGAGGTAGGGAGATGATTTAGACATCCATACTTGCCACAGCCTACCTGGCTGGATGCTGACTCCCTGGTTCCTCTGATGGTCTGTCTTTGAAGGGCAAGCACCTTTTCTAGACAGAGGGGGACACCCCTCACCTGCTTCTCTCCCACTCTAAGCTTTCCTCCCCAGCACAGCCCAGAGATGCCAGCTCAGCCAGTCAGGACTACTACCCAGCTCCAGAATATTCAGGAATTCAGCACTTCCTAAACCTCTCCCTTGCCCTCTGCTTTCTTGGTCTCTCCCCAGACCAGGAGACAGACCCTCCCTGGACCAGGCCACAGCACTTCCCCGGGGGTGCATAGTGCTGCTAAGTTCTCTCCCATTCACCACAGCTCTGCTCTGTCTGTAACAGACCTGCCATCTATAGCTTCTATTGCATTTCATTCCTGTCTCTAAACCACCCTTTCCTCCCCCAGAGGTGGGCCCTCCTTTTCCCAACACTGCATGTTGATCCAGTTACCCTATCTATACTTCTGCCTGCAGTGGGTAAGGAGACCTGGATTCCCAGCTCGATGCTCTTCTGTGGCCCTCGACCTCTGGGAACTGTGGCTCTAAATACCCTCAGTTTATGTCTTTTGAAGTTGTCCTTATTTCATTTCTTTCAGAAACATTTGACACTGAAGCCAGAGGCTGGTGACTTGCTCCTGTAATCCTAACTACTCAAATGTAGCTATTCCAGTCTAAGAGTTCCTAAGAGCCATCTATCTTCCCTAATAAAAAGCTGGCTGCGGTGGCACACACCTGTCATTCCAGTTAAAGCAGAATGTATAAGTAAAAGGACTGTGGTTCAAGCCAGTCCAGACAAAAAGTGAGACCCTATCTCCAAAATAATGAAAACAACAAGGGATGGAATCATGACTCCAATGGTACAGTGCCTATTGAGCAAGCACAAAGCCCGGAGATCAGACCTCAGTACTTGACAAGTCTGAAAGAGAGGAAAAGAGACAGAGAAAGAAAGAGGGAGATAGAGAAAGAGAGAAGTTTTGCTATTGAAAGATCAATAGATTTTAAGAATACTGAATAATACCACAGGTAGTGGCATGGAGAAGGAAAGATGGTTTGTTCAAGCTGGTGTGTTGCCCAGGCAACCCAGGATGAGATATTCGTGGCCTTTGTCATCTGTGCTCACTGAGCCAGGATCCCCCTGCCACCCATGCAGAGGCTAGCTAGAGAGATGAAATGATTGGCTCAAGACACATGCCAGTTTCAGGGCCTAAATCCAAAACCTGTTCCGCTTCCTGCTTGTAGGAAAGAGGATTTTAACAAGCAGCAGGAAGGGAAGGCCTCACTGTCTTCCCCAGGCCTCATTTCCCCTCATTTGCCTCACTAGGAGGTGAGCTGAATCTTCCATGGAAGCGGCCAACCTGATCGTATTCTGACCCTTTTTACCTTGTGGAGCTGTCAGAGCAGCTGGAAATCATGTCCTTTGAGGATTGAACAACAACAACAAAAAAGACTTGGCAAGGATCTGCCTCTTCCTAACCCCCATACCAGATAATTAAAGATGATATCTACATTTTAAAATGCTCTCAAATCCCTGGCAAGCTTTCCATGCATAGACGTATCTATAGAATTTGTTGAGATCTCTTTCATAAAGGTCAAGAGGTAACGGAGAGCTGTTTCTTTAATTTTTACTATACTATTTAAGAAAACACTTTAATATTCCATTCAATTCTTTCACCCTTTTTTTCCTCCTTCTCTCTCACTGCTTCTGAAAAAAATAAACAACCAAGTACAACCATAAATATGCAGACAGTGAGAAGCTGGCCTCTCCTATATCTAATAAAAACCTCGGGGAGTAAGTAAAATAACTTGGTGTGGGCAGTCAGGTTACATGCTGCACAAAATCAAAAGAAAATCCCCAGCAAGGAAAAGCAACTGAAAAGAGGAAGAAGGGCTGGAGAATAAAAGCAGGATATTAAATAATGAGTAACTATAGGAAATGGGAAAAAATCCTTTTCAGAATTACATTGTCAGAAAAATAATCAAGAAGCAGCTTTGACAAAGTCACACCAGACAAGGTGATCATTTTATGTCTGTCGAAGGAATGAAAATATAAAGAAGAGAAAAGGAAAGAAATACTCCCTCTGACTTCAGCATCTACTCATTAGACAAAAGTCTGAAAGAACCTTTGGAGTACTTGTCCTGCAGGAGATTCTTCCTGCCTCCCAGGGACCCAAAGCTCTCTGCAACTTCACATGTTAAAGCAGTGGCCAGGATAGCAGTACATTGAGACCTGGCCAGCAGGATCAAGGATTCCAGAAGATTCCTTGGGGGGGGGGATTCACTGGTCTTTATGATCTTAACAAAAGATCACAGCAGAGTAGGCAGAAGGAGAGAGAATAAAGGAGGATGGCTAAGAGGACAGGTGGTCTGAGTATGCTTGTAGGAGATGGAGAGGATGGGGAGAGTGATAGAGGGGGCTAATCCAGCTGAATTATAATGTATGCATGTGTGAAACCCCTTCGTACAATTAATATATACTGAGGAGAAGACAGGAAAGCAAAACAGGCTCTGTGGGAAAGCAGGTATCAAGTAGATCAGAAAGGACCAACAGAGGATGAAGGTGGCTGGCTATGGTGGAAGTACTTCATCTACAAGAGGGAAAATAGCACAATGGGACCTGCTGAAATTGTTTTATGAAATTGTTTCATGAGGGAGAGCTACGGAAGGGTGAATTTGAGGGTGTTGTGTCTATGTAGAGAAATGTTGGTGAAATCCTTTGGGCTACAAATGCATGCTAATAAAAACTTTTTAAAGGAGAGATCATCACATTGGATATGGGTAGGGAAGTGTGGTTGTTGTGTCTGCGTCTTGGCAAAGAGATGCTGGCCCTAGAATCGCATGGAGAGAGGACAATTTGCACTCTGGGATCCTGGCAGGGTCCCATTACTCATTTTCCTGCCCTAAACCAATGTCTTCTGCTGTGTATTCCTGGGCAAACTCATTAACTGTTGCATACTCAGTGTCTTTCTAGGGTTTCCAAAAGGTTCTTTCTATTTAAATCCAACCTTTCAGACACAAAAAAGAGAAAGAGAGACAGAGACACAAAGAAAGAGGAAATCAAGAAAGCAATCATCTAAAGTAGTTTATCAACTATAATGATTCTAGTGTATTTCCCATCTTTCCTTCTTCTTCTTTCTTCCTCCTTTCTCCTCTTCCTGTTCCTCCTGCTCCTGCTCCTGCTCCTGGTCCTCCTCCTCCTCCTCCTCCTCTTCCACCTCCTCTTCCTCCTTTCTTTTGTGCCCATCCTGGGGCTTGAACTTAGGGTCTGTGATAGCATGCTACCTTTGAGCCAAAGTAGCACTTTTGGCTTTTTCTTAGTAGTTCATCACAGATAAAAGTCTCATGGACTTTCCTGCCTGGCCTGGCTTTGAACCACAATCCTCAGATCTCAACCTCCTGAGTAGCTAGGATTACAAGGCCACCAGCACCCAGCCATATCTTTCTTCTTAATAACACTGTGTATACTCTTTTTCAAAATGTATGGTAGAGATTGGACTATAAATTTTATAACCCAGGTTTGCTATTGTAAATGTTTAATCTTTCCAAACTAAATTAAAAAACAACGCAACCATTGCCTTCTACCTCTGCATACTATTCCACACAGATGATCTTGTCTTCTTCCTTTTTTCTTTGGTTCTGTTTAGTTTTGGTGTGTTGATATCAGAATTTGAACTCAGGGCCTCATGTTATTTCTAGGCTTGCTTGCTCACTTGCCACTTGAGCTACATCTCTAGTCTAGCTTATTTATAGTCACTTTGTAGACAGACTTTTCTGGCTTTGAACCACGATCCTCCTGGTCTCAATCCCCCAAGTAGCTGGGATTACACCTGTGAGTGCCCAGAGCCTGGCTTGTGCTTTGTTTATACATGCTGCATTCAGAGTGTTTGGCAGTGTCAGGGGGCTGAGTAGCTAAAGGAAAAGACAAAGTGTAACAAGGGCTTGTGTCTATGACTCAGAGCTATTTTCCATCAGGATTAGCCACCATGGGCTGTGTAGCTGTGTAGGGAAGTAAGGCTGACCTTTCTATATTAATTTTTCCCCCAGAGCACTAAGATCATCTTTCCTGATGTTAGAGTGGAGTTAGACTATGGCAGACATTACAACTCTGTCACTAGGTCCTATGACCTAGCACAAGTTTTAAACCTCCAAGAATCTGAAATCACCTCACCTACTCACCATGTTATCTGTACAGCATGGAGGAGGACGTTGACCAGCTAGGTGTGACAGAGTAATACAGTGGCCCCGAGGTTTTACCTTGACTATGTAATATTCTCTCTTCTTAGAAGGTGCTAAGCCTGGGGTTGGGTGGTGCTTTTAAAAGATGATGTTCATTTTGTTCTCATAATCTGATGCTCTGCTTTTGTAGGACTTACAGAAGCAAATCCATCCATGCCTGATGGAGGCTTGCATGGATAGCCACTTACCGTTCCTAGAAACATTCTGATAGTCTCTGTGGTTGCAGCGGTTTCTTTTCCGTAAACGAAGGTAAATCGACTTTCCTTCAATTCTGAAATAAACACATATGTACATATTTCATGTGAGGATGAAATTCAAAGAAACATTTTTGTGATTTTTTTTTAAAACAAAGGTTTAGAGAGATGGGGAGAACAACGGAAAGAGTAACATTGAACTCATGAACTAACATGTTGAATTGAAACTCCTTTAAAAGAATACTTAAAGGTAATTTAAAAAATACAGGTCAGAATGAACTCAGAAAGTCAATTTTTTTTTCTGACAAGCTTCGCAAAGCTGTGTAATATTGTTGGGAGTCCTATAATAGAAAGAAGTTCTATGAAATGACTATTACCAATACAATGAGTATTACTGTAGATAACCTTCTTCTTTTATGTAAAGGCCCCTAAAGTACCTTTTTAAAATTGTTTAGCCAGGAACAGTTGCACATTTCTTGAGCAATGGTTCATCTTTTCCAGTCCTGTCATGAGAACTCGTTTTCCTTTCTCCAGTCCTTCAGATCCACTCCCCTCTTATGCTTTGACATGAGTTTTGTTTTGGCAGTGCTGAGGTTTGAACTCAGGGTCCCACACTTGCTAGGCAGACATTCTGCCACTTAAGCTACAACCTGTAATATTATCTTCTTGTAGAAATACCTTCTGAAGCCTGTTTGTTTGGCCCTTCACCCCTGTGTGCAGTAGATGTCCAGGGAGATCCTTTGTCTGTTATCCTGAGGAGCCTCTTTACACAGGGCCTTATGCTTGCTACGTAGGTACTGTACCCCTTGAGTTGCACCCCAGAAGATTTCTGCTTTAGTAACTGTTCTGGTCCAGAGCCAGACTCAGAAAACAGTCCTCCTATCCTGGCTTTCTCTGTAGCTGGGGATACAGGCATGAGAAGCCCCACCCTCTGCCCTCTTTGTTTTTGCATTGTCTTTATATTTGAGGTTTCCCTCCGATGGCTAGTGATCTTGTGGGTTGGTTTGTATTTATTTAAACATGGACATGCAGAGTCATCTCTTCAGTTGTCTGGCTTATCTCAGTACAGAACGCCTCAATTTTAGCATCTAAGCCTCTAGTTTGCATCCAGTGTGAGGGAGAGGCAGCTGCCCACCTATGTGGAGCTAAGAGATTGGAAGAACATCTTTCAGTTACTGATGCTTCCATTTTTAGCTGCAGCTCCCTCTCTAGAGCTGGCCGCAGAGTCACCTAATCAAGCCTGTGGGATGTCTGAAGTGGAGACTGGGGTTGGGTCTCCTTTGGTCAGCTTGGGGCACAGCTCTACCTCAATCTATTGCTCACTTGCTGCTTGTCCTTTCCCCAGTGTTCTGTGGCTGCTGGCTCTCTCTATTCTCTTTGTCCTTGTGAACAAATGCATTTACTGTCATGTCAATAAGGCTTCTAGGGAGATAGGTAAATGCACAGTTCAATTTGCCAACTTGCCCCAAAGCCTGAAATGAACACTTTATACACTGTGTGCTTTACATCTTCTACCTTGACTATTTTACTATTTTAGAAAATCAGATGGGAAATGAACTTGAGAGCTGAGTTCAATACTAAAATAATTTCACGGTCAATAAAGAGAGTTTATTTTCCTTGGGGAAAGTAATTGTTACCAAGATTTAGTCATAAATATATTTTTGATAATTCTAAAAAATGGGAATTTATGTGCTGAAATATTGTTTGGCTCATGAAAAACAAATAGCCTGGGTATTAATCTTATAAACACAGTTAGTTGCACTTTTCATTACAAGAATACAGATTGCTTTATCAATCTTTGAGAGCTTCCTTAATATTTCTATTAGAAAGGCAGTCCAAATTTGGGGATTAGAACTTTATACAAAGCACTAGAGCTATTTCCTGTAACTGACAACAATACTGTTTTCTTTCCCATCAATCCCAAAATAAGTCATCTTCACCACGAGTGTTAGGAATCCAGTTTTCCACACAGCATGCAGTGCTCGGGGACTGAGCAGAGAGGGGAGTCTGTGCAATACTTTGCGATGCCTACAAATAAAGATGGCTGTTTAAGAGAAGATCGTCTCTGTGCAGGGTCAGCTCAAATTATATCCAAAGGACAAGCTGATGAAAAAGTAGGACATTACTTGTGCTGTCTAACTTGTCATGACCTTTCTTCTCCCCAACAGCCATCCTCTTGTTCTATCGCCACTTGATTCAAGTGTCCCATAAGGCCTGCAGTTTCTCTCTTGGGGCATTACACAGCAGAGCCCAGAACAATGGGCTCATAGAGGAGGTGGCTGCACTTTGCAGGGCTCGTTGGCATTCCTTTTTCGGTCCTTTGCTATTCTCAACACCTGGAGCATTCTTTGGGGGCACACCATGACAAAATTCCAAATTTCTCAGTTGCACCTGGCTGGCTAGCCCCAGCAAGATGCACATCACATGGTCATGTTTTGATTTCTGTCATCAAAATTCAAATAGATGAGTTTCAAACAGAATGGTTAAGGGTTGCTTCCCCCAACATTTGCTTAGGTCACACAAAAGCTCATTTCTCGGAGAACCTTTTTAGTAGCTTTCATGCCATTGGAGCAAAAGGAAAATCAACAATGGGCCTCAAAGAAAAGGGGGAGAAGTCAAGTATCCAATGTATATCAACAAAATTAAGAAGATGAGGGAAGTGGGGGTAGGTGAGGGATGGGCGAGAATATTGAAAAGATAAACTGCTTTGTTAAATGCCAACTCCTTTGTACAACTCCTTAAATGTAATAATAATAATAGTAATAGGAAAATGGCCCTTAAGAGTAATACAATAGTAAAGGGTGGATTCCTAGCTGTTGACCCAAAGTAGGACTCTACTTGGACAGTCAAAAACAGCTTCCTCAAAGAGTCATCAGCCTGTCAGAGTGTTCAGGATAAATCAAATATGTGATATAATTGAAACAACAGCAATAACATTTCTGAGTCTGTTTCCGATTCTCCAGTGGTGCTACTTTGGATATATATTCTAAGTTCTCATTAAGCGCTGGGGAAGTCAGTCCCAGAAAGGACAGGGCCTCCATGGCTAGCTACAAGATCGGTGAGGGATGACAAATGATTTGTTGTGAAGACTTAGTACAGAAGACTGGAGAAGATTAAAATTGGGCAATTTAGAAATTAGGCTCAACTTTGAGCAAAAGGAGCAGAGTTTTCTAGAGCATGTGGATAGGGGTGAAGTCAGGTGCGTACGGGGCCAGGGAGATGAGTTAAAGACCATTCATATGTTCGTCTAGTCCTTTGATAGCAGTGTAACTCCTGAACCAATGATTCATGGAACAACAAAGGTTTAGGTTGAATCTTGTGTAGATAAATGATCTCTTGAGTAATCAGGGAGACTGGCAATGGGCCAGTCATGCAAAGAAAGGGAGAGGAGAGATGACTATATAGAGAAAGTTCTAGAGCTCAGGTATAAAAAAAAATCACAAGTTAACATGACATATTTGGAATTTAGAGCAGGAAAATAGGCCTCCTGGGATTTATGCTCAATGATTCATGAGCTGCCAGACTCAGACAAGATAACCTACCTGGTAGGTCAACCTCACACTGAGCTTTTTTCTCCTGCTGTTCTCAGAGCCTGGAGCAGTAAGAACTCTCTCCACCCTGGCATCTCCCAGCCCCAGATTTGATTCTAAGCCACTGTACTAAAATGGACATTAACATGTGATGAAAACTAAGAGATTTAAGTCTATGGATGCTTATTAACTTGAAACCATCAGCTGCAACAAAGAAGATTGTTTTTTTATAATCTTAGGACACATCTGTGTAGTTTTACACTGTATCTTCCTCATAAAGCACCTGTGCAAATCTCCATATTGTTTGGTAATTAAATGAACTTAGGGCTGTCTCATAATAGCAGCAAAAAAAAAAAAGAACTAAGGCCATACTCTGTCTTTTTTGAGATATACAAAGGTGTTTTTATTTTGTAGGTTAGGGGCTCTGTTGATCTTTACGCTGAATAAACTACTTGTGTTCCTTTATTTAAATTAGTATTTCCAAAACTTGTCTGATGTAAAGGGAGATGTGTGTAAAACCCATCAACATTTCATGGAACTCATATTTCACACAACAGTTTTTGAAGAAAAGTGTTGGTGGAATCAGCATCTGATTCCTAAATTCCCGTGTTTTGTGGGCTATAAGAGTTCTACTAGGTGAATTTGGAGCGTGATCGTTTTCTTTGATCCCTATAGGTTGTGAAATTATGGTGTTCTACACAAAAGTTCACAGGCTTCATTTATCTAATCTTGACCAAATTTGCCTGGAAGTGAATCTCCGCTTCGTTTTACTTTTTCTGTATGGTGACTGAATTAATCATTTCCTTGCAATTCACTTTCTCCAACTCATTGATTTGTGATTTCATATCTTAACAAAGTATGCTAAGTTCAGGTACAGTGTTGATTATAGGATACATGGAGAGTTCAAGGGTTTAAAAGTTGCTGAATTACTTTTAGATGCCTCCCATCCAGTAGTTGGGGACTTCATTCATGCTCTTTAGTCTCCTCTTTCTTTGTCCCTATCATTTCCCCCTTTACTGTTAATTCATGTAAATCTGGTTTGATTTGGACAATCTGAGGAAATGCATTTGAAGGAGGTTTGTCAGTTGCAGAGCAGTATACAGATGGAGGAATGTTACGGACAGAACTGGTTCAGTTCTTTTTTTTTTTTTT